AGGATGATTTGTAGCCATTGAGTATACTCTTAAATAGAGGAAATGAAAGAAGTTGTCTATCCTAAGGAGTTGTTAAAATCTCTTCGTGAAATACCTAAGATCAATTTTCTTCTTGTTAAGAAAAGTTGAAAACTCCCAATAAACATTGTCATACTATTCATTATTTCCTAAACACTTCTTATGAAGAGTTAGGAAAATCGAAATTCCTTTTGAATGAGAAAAATTCGTGGATGACTAAAATGATATATAAATGAGTTTCTAAATGTTTGAGAATATAATTATGTGTAAACAAAATTTGAGTTTGTTAAAACATGGTTTTATGGTTAAAACTAATAATAAACTTTACTCAAGTATGAATGAGTAAATGTGCAAGAGAATTTGTTTACACGTTATCCAAGACACTTATGGATTTATCCTAAAAATGTTAGAAATGTAGGAGTGTCTTTAATGATGATTAAAGTGAGAGAGGAACCTAGTTAATCAACTTACCAAATGTTAAAGTCAGACGTTGGTTCTTGATTCGTCGATGGGATAGGTCTAAAGTCCATTGGTTGAGGAATTCATGGTGGATACCCATCTTAGTTATCTAAGTTCAATGTAGTAAAACGAAGCCATGTGAAGACTTATAATGTACATTTCTATTTTCCTATCCCTATGACGAATAATGTACATGAATAGGATAAGCTTAATTGCTCTTAATAAATTCATAGCCCAGGATTTGGGTGGTCTTAGTGAGAAATACTTGATGAATTTACCTATTTTGGTTGAATATATATATTCTTAATAAGTTCATGACCAATTATTGAGTGGGTAGTCCTAATCGCGAAGGACTAGGTGAACTTACCGCTTGAAAGGTTGAGTTTCTTAAAACTCTTAATGAATTCAAACCCAAGAGTTTGGGTGTTCCTAGTGAGAAGAACATATTGAATTCACCGATTAATGAGGTTGAATATTTATTCTTAATGATTTCTTATCACAGAGCTTGGGTGGTTTTTTTTGTAAATGAACTTGAAGAAATCCACCTTACCTATTGTGAGGATTAGCTGTTGAAAAGCTCTTAATTATTTCATAGCCCATTTGGTGGCTTATATTGAGATAAACTTGATGAAATAACCTACGTAAGTGAGAAGGATTAGCCACATTCTATAAAAAAACATTGGGCCATTTTTCTAGTGCACTTATTAGAATCCTGAGGAAAGAGGGCTAAATATATATACACTTGTATATAATCTTTGTAGACACATCGATGAATTCAGTGGATGAAGGAGTTAGTTGTGTGTTATGAGTTTACCCCTATCTTAGAAAGTTCAAGACTTATTTCACTTATCTAAGAGAAGAATTGCTCATCATTACTATGTGGTAGTTCAAGATATGTTCACTAGTGCTTAAGCAATTAATCTCGCTATTACTCTTCTTGTGTTTTAACTTCAATGTTCTCATTTTTACGAAAAAAAATTATTCCGCATTAGTGGGGGATTGTTGGTTAATTCTCAAATTTGTAACCTATTTCTAAATGACATTTAATTCTATGTTTAATAGAATTAAATTGTGCTTTGAAAATGACAATTTTGCCCTCACTATTTAGCCTATAAATAGTGGGCAATTTCATTCATTTTGATATATCCAAAAGCAATTGTTTGCTTTAGAAACACTCTCAAAAGTGTTGTTTTGAGTTGAGAGAAGACCAGTACCACCGGAGTTCACTCTATCTTCGTGTGTACGGAATTTGGAGAGCCGTTTTAACCTCTGGAGACCATTCGTCCATTGTAGCAATTACACACATCGGGGTAAATTCGCTTCTAAGGCAGTGATTAATACCACGACACGGTTAATCAGTTCTTTGTTTAAAACATTTTATTTAATATTTTTCAGTCAGTGCTAACGCCTCGTTTTGTAGTTCCAACACTTTCATCTCCGAATACTAATACATCATGGTTATTACGAGACAAATTTTAGAGGTTAACTGAGATTGAGTTGAAGTCCCTATCTATGGGTGTTACAGAGGATGAAGTGCGAAGGACGACTTTTGATATGAGTCCTCTTAAGGTCCCATGAGTGACTTTTGATATGAGTCCTCTTAAGGTCCCATGGGTGGATAGAATTCATGCTATGATTTTTCAGAAGAATTGACATATTATTGGGAGGAGCGTGACTACTTTCATCCAAAATTGCTTCAAGGTGGCCCTCTTCAGGAAGAATTCAATCATGCGATAATTGTTTTAATTCCAAAAATTGAAACACTAGAATTCTTATTGCAGTTCAGACATATGAGTTGTCTCTTACAAAATGTTAGCCAAGGAGATAGTTAATAAATAAAACCGTTTCTACCCCAATGGATCAGACGCAAGCGAGCTTTGTTTCGGATCGATGTACAATGGATAATGTAATACTCGCGCAAGAAGTATTCATTTGATGCAAAAGAAGATCGGAAAAGGGGATGAATGACAACCAATATAGACCTCGAAAAGGTTTATGATCGGTTGGAGTGGAGTTTCGTTGAAGACAGATATTGGTCTTTCTCTGGATTTGATTCACTTGATCATGGAGTGTAATAGTATTGTTTCGACCAGGGTATTATGAAGTTAAGGGCGGATTATCTAGCTGATCCGCAAGCTCTTTATTCCTTACCGGTCGCATCACTCTTGCTCGATCGATACGTTAAGCTATTCTAAGTCACATGATGCAGGCAACTTGGGTTTCTAAAGGAGTATGTATGGAAATTGAAGAATCGATACGCGGTTTTGTGTGGGGTACTTCTGCTGATCAACTTGGTCTGGTCTTGTCCGATGGGAGGATGTGCAAAGTCTTGTTGCTAATGGGGGTCTTGGTCAGGAATTAGTAGAATCGGGATGAAGTGCAACGAGATTTAATTTGGAGTGTTCGTGATGGGTTCCATGTGGACTTTTGGCAATTGCCCGAGAGCTCAGGAATTTGAAGGCCTCGATTCGACATGATAGTTTTCAAGTTTTAATTCATTGCCTATGGAAGAATGGATCCATGAAAACCTTGGGGATTTGAGTCGTTGTCAACCAAAGCACCCCATGGTCCAATATTTTTCCGGTAGTTTGCTGGATGTTGTGCACGAGAAGAAATAAAATTATTTTCGACGAATTTTGCTGAGAATGAAGATATTACATCAAGTATGCGCTATGTAGGGGAGATTCAGAGTGCACAACATCATTCTAGGCTGTGTGGTTCTCCGACGATGAATCAAATTTCAAGTGCCAACTCGTGAAGGAGACCATGGGATGGATGGATTAAAGCGATACGGATGTTGCGATGGATACTGTTGATGATCATGCCGCTGTTGGGAGAGTCTTTCGATCGGATCATGGTGATTAGCTCTTTGGATTTCGTGGAACATAGGGAAATGCTCGATGTTGAATGCTGAGCTATGGACGATACTGGATGCTTTCCGACATGCATAGCGACTTGATTATCGATGTATAGAATTGGAATCTGATAATATCGAGGCTATATGCGACCTTCCGAAACCAGCATCAGATCATCAAGGAAATGTACTCTTCGTTGTCATCAAGGACCTCAATTAAAAATATTTCTAAAAAAAATTAATCCCTCTTAATAAATTTCTAGTTTCACCTCTGTATACACCTATAGAATAAAAGGGTATAATGCCAAAATAATATATTTAACGTTTGATTAAATAATTATTTTAATCATATTTTTTATTTGGAATTTTTTGGTCCTAATGTTTCATTTTAAGGTAAAACGATTCGTAATATTTGACTAAATAGTCACTTTAGCTCTTATTATCTTTTTTGGAGCATTTTGGTTCCAACATTTTATTTTAGGGTAAAAAACCCTTATTTTAGAGTGTTTTTCGTTTGTTGACTAACAATTTCATATATGAAAGGATCTTTATTTTCTTTCACGTGGAAATAATGGGGTTTCTCATCTTCAAAGATGGCAAGGACTTGAAACCAAGGAAGAGGCCGTTGGAGTGTTGTTTATTGGGTGAGCAAAACTCTACTCAACTCGAAAAATTGATTTTTTTTTTCTTTACTCAATTTGATTTGAAAAAGTTTGACTTGAATGGACTTTAAGTTCTAATTTCATAAACTTGACTCGAAAAAAATTCAAATTCAAATCGAGTTATAAAATACAACTCGAATAACTAAAAAAATTTAATAATCAAGGATTGATGGATTAAATAAAAATAAACTAGTATATCAACAGCCTACGATAAATGAATTAAACTATAACATGAGAAGGGGAACAACAACATATACATGGATGCTGAAGATGGCTGATGATTTTAAACCAAAACAATGTCAGGCTCTGTTTTCCCAAGATTTACAAATGAAATTCTTACCATTCCCGGAAGAACATAACGCCTCCTTAATCCAACATCATAAGGTTACAAATGGCCACACTATGGCGAAACGGTGCTTTCAATCGATCTACAAACTATTCATTGCAGTTTCTACTGCTTTGCATTGGCATTTCTTTGCTGGTTATCCTTATCTCTGGTGCTCAACGGTAGCAAAAGAGGTGAACTTCCGTTACTTCTGTAGTAGTTCTGCAGGAAATCTCGGTGTTAGAACCACCGCTGATCGCTAGACGAATGTACGATGCGATCAAAACATTCTAACTGGCAATTTCTTGTCTATGAAGAAACCACTAAACTAACAGTATACCTGCAGAAAAATCTGTCAACGTGACAAAAAATACAGTAACTTTTGGTTATAAATGGAAACTTCAGCATACTTCATACCATGCGACGACAACGTCGACCGTGTAATGTTTGCGGGATGCTACGATCAAGAAACTCTGAATTATAGCTACCAGCCAACCAAAACTGCTTTATACATCTGCAATTGTATGATACCATCACAAACCAATCAATATGTATACTTCCTTTAGCTAAAAGCATAGCAAGTGCGTTAAATAAACGAACAAACATGTTTTACCGTCGTGTGCCGTTTTTGGTAGGCGACGACGAAAACCAGGGGGAAGATCATGTGTGTGAGAAAATCAAGTCACCACAAATATATTAAACCTTGAGGAACTGCAAATAAGATGATCAAATGAACCAAATATTTCCATCCTTAAAAGCAATCAATTGAGAGATTCAGCAAAAGAGGGGATACAAACAATTGATTAAGAGGACTTCTAGCACACCATCCGGTTCTGGCAATCTGGCAAGCTTTGAACCCTGCAGAAACACTAGTTATTTACTCAAATGATATTACAAATATAAACATAAAGTGGAGCAGAAATACGATATACCGTTCGACAATGATAATTAGGACCTGGAAGCGATATACCGTTCGACAATAGAATAGAATGAGAGAAGATTCGGAGAGTCTGAGAAGCCTGCAACAAAGAAATAAAGGGGTAAAAAAACAACTATAAGTAGAGAAAAATACAATGTAGATATTTATCAAGGTTCATCAAATTCGGCATTGAGGTTATTGATGAAAATGGTAGCATACATTGGTGTAGTATTAGGGATGACATATGGCTACAATTTCGTGGATTTCGTACTGTACCCGCTCCAATTGAGTCGGGATGGATATAAGTTTAGTGCGTAGTGTGTCCGTGGGTAGTGGTGAGGTGATGGGTTTGAGACCTTACCCACCCCGCATCCGCCAGCCCACTGACTATACACCATGTAAATTTTGGACCATTATGAATTTAATTATAATTTTAGAGATTATTATGTAAATCTTAAGATTTTATAGGACATGACTTGTAATTTAACTAAATGTTAGGGAATAAACATTTTTAGAATTGAAGATCATCATTTCTCCTATCTCAAATTGGTGGGTATGTGGGTACGGGCGGGTATAGACGGATACGGGATGAGTGGTGGGTATCTAGTTAGATAGTGGGTGTGGGGATAAATTTGAGAATACCCGTGTGGCGGGTGTAGATTTGAAAATTTTACCTGTCGCGTGTGGTGAGTAGATGGTGAATACGAAAATATTAGGTGAGTATGAGAATGGGGGAAGGGATATCCGCACCAGCCCCGCCTGTTTGCCTATGTAGTATGAAAAAAGAACCTTGAAACTATTCCGGATCAAGGCTCAATGTTGGTGCATATTAATAAGAAGATAAAGATAGAATAACGAATCAGCACTCACAACTAAAAATGCTAGCACCCTGCACCAAATTAGAACTGTATAGAACTTTTTGACCTTGAAGACAAAAGGATGGAAAGTCCACTGCAAAAACAAAATGTTACTAAGAAAAACCAATGGATTTAATACTTTACATAAGAGAAATCAACAAGGGAATAACTTTACCAAGAAAAATGATAGAAAGACGAAGCTGAACACTGTCTCGCTGATGTAGGATTTATCTTGCCCAAGCTCCTAAATTTACAAGAAAATCAAGTATATGAATGCATTTTACATAATAATTGGCACATAATGGATATAAGCAAAAGTGAAAAGAACAGGAAGAAACTTGTTCTTACGGGAAGAAGAAAGAAGCCAAGATCCTGAAGCGTTGGCCCCGGACGGTGCAGATAATGAACTCCTCGAGCAGCTAGACCATGAAAATACTTGAGAAAGAAATGCACATCTCAGAACCAAAACTAAGTATACTTGAACTTGGGAAAATTAAACACAGTAACAGCCTCGAGTGTAATTCGATAGCTAAAACAATGTCATCCTTATGAATCATGATATAAGATTGAAAACTACTTCATATACCACTCAACCTGTTACTTGTTTTTTTACCGAAATTTCAATTTCGTTAATTATAATATTAAACTTCAGTTTTACATTTAATTAAACCACACTGCCATTAAGTCCGTGGTGGGACGACGATGGGACAATGACATTGCTAACGATATGACTTCCTATATCAAAACAATGGTTTTCTTTTTTAAATACTTTTCTTTTTCAGAATTATACTTTTCATGCCGACAAACATTCATATTTCGCGATAAGATCGGTATCAAGACATTTGTATTACACTCCTCTTTCTTATGCTAAGATTGATTTTCCAGGAAACCGATTTAATTAAAAAAAAAATCTAATTTCGCTGCAGGAAAACAGAAAGAAACCTGAAAAATGACTCCGGCAAGAATGTATTTCCAATTGTCTAGAAGAATGATGATCTCTGTAATTGTCTCCGCACAAAACCTCTTCCATATCTGGAAAAAGAAATAAAAAAACATCAAATCAAAATCCCTTAAAAATTCCCAATGTCTCAACAATAGAACGCAGACCTTTGAAGGCTCGCGACCAATGTAAAGCGTCATTCTGAGGTGGTTTAACAACCAGATCCGTAGTACTTCAACCCAAACAGTTGAGATGAACATGGTTAAGAATTAGAAAACCTCGCTCGATGTTTCAGCAGAGTTCTCTCGTCAAAAAGCAAGAGAAACGAGAAGAAAAGAAGCGAAGTTCGTTCATGTCTCGCTTTCTTTGCTTCCTTCCGTAACCGATTCTTGAAACAAAGGAAGACAAAGAAAGGAATCGAAGAGGGAAAGGGTCGAATCGAAGGGCCTCTCTTCCCTAAGGCTTTGGGATTTCGATCAAATGAAAGGATTTTCCCTAAAATGGTGACAATTAAGAGAGAGGAAGGGAATAAAGAAAACAGAGAGTGGAACACGGAGAGACCGTTGAGAATTTTTACATGTCAATATTCCTACTAACTGTAATGAATCAAATTTATCATTACTTATATTTCAAAACATGCCTCGCCTTCTCTTTTCGGTGGCCACACTTCGTCCTGATTAATTTGGATCAACTTGGGTCGTACACATAGTTTTAGAATTTTCTGCATACACAAACATCTTTACCTGATCATTCCTTTGCTTCTTCTGTTGTTGTATCCAATCTACACCCTCCGTTTCTTCGATGAATCTCATCAACGTCTTTACCTGATCCGTCGGACTGGGTCCCACGTTGTCGTTGTCATCCCGCAAATTACGCTCGGCTGCCAGCGCCATTGCCAAGTTCATCCCTGTGGCTGATGTACTGATGGTGGTGTTGGTGGTGTGCATTGCTTGATTCTGCCGCCGTTTTAGGCGGCCAACCAACAGCGGGACGGTGGCGCTGTTAAAGCCGTTGAATCTGGAAGTGAGTTGCTGCGTTGGAGGCGGCGTTTGATCATCTTCATCGAGGATAGAAATGGTTGAAATTCTGGGTCTGGGATTCCAGGTGGCTCCGCAGCAGCCATGGCCATGAACTTCAAACCCAGCCTTTGTTTCAGATTCTTCCACTTCCTTCTCTCAATCACTATGCTCTCCATTTCTTCCCTTGCTTTTTCCTAACGCCCTTCTCTTTTCCTCTTTTTCACTCAAATTATTGCTTAACTTATGGTGTTTTAAATTCCTAGATTTTTTTATTAAGGTAATTTATCTCTTCTAAATACTTTTAATCATTTAATAATGAACACTCAATTATCCTGTTACAGTCGCTGATGTTCGAACTCGAAATATCAAAAAACAACAACAATTACTTTAATCACTGAGATAAATTAATTCGTGCACACATATATATACATATATATATATAATAATTTTTTTAATAATCCAGATGATTTAATATTTATTCATAATTTTTATAATTAAGTACAAATACATAATTGTATGTTATCAATACGTAGTCTTGGATCCTTCACTTCTTGGATGCGAACATGAGAGTTGTCTCATTCCCTAAAGGCTTTACGTTACATTAATCTTTAATTTTCCCGTTTATAACAAAAAAAATTTACAGTCTTGTTTTTTTTTATATTAAAAAAAGATAATATGTGTTCATAACTTTTTATTACAATATAACAATATAAGGCTTAAAAAAAAGATTTTTATTAATAAATAAAAGAATACAATTCAGAATAAAAACCCAATTGTCGACTGAAAAACAAATTTAAAATAGTTGAGGCAGGTAAGAACACAATTTCCTTAAGACGGATTTTCAATCATTTCTTGGTGCTTGAGATCTTTGGTCATCGGTCTCCTGGGATATAACAACAAGATGATCACGATACAGTAGTACAACTGCAATGATCACGAATTATTTCTTGCATGAGGCTATCATCGAAAAATAGAAAGGAAAATAAAGAATTTTTGAGTTGTGTAAAACCAAGTAGATTTATACGGTATTTATAGTGTTCACACATAGAATAAGAATTATAAACAATATATTCTGAAAAGTAAGACTATTAATTAGTATCTGAATAAAATCGAAAATAATCAGTTATACTGTTTTAATACGTGAACTGCGAGTCATATCATATTAACATTTGAATTAAAAGGAAATCACATAATATCCTTTTTAATTCAGAATATTGAAAAAAATATGTCACACTTAAAAAATATATTTTTAATTCGTAGTGGACAAAATATCCGTAGGCCCCCGAAAGGCCCGACCGGTTTAAACGTTCACATTGCCCACGTTGTGAGAGTACACTGCCAACTCCGATGGTTTTGTCAGGCTTGGATTTGCACTCCTGTGCTTGCACGCAAGGTGCAATCTTAACCTAAGTCGTTCAATGACTAGCAAGTTGGTTGATGTATATAAATTAGAGGTGTTTAAATCCGGGTACTCGAATCCTCGAGTATTTGATTGGCCCGCCCGTATCCCGACCCTGATGTTGAGGGTACTCGGCAATCGGATACTCAGATTTTGCTAGTACCCATAATTTGGGTAATCGGGTACCCGGTTTTTTACTGTTTTCAACTTATTATTTCAAAACATACGACTAATCGTAAGAAGTTTGATTAAATGAGCGTGTTGAGTGTTGAGCTTACCAGGTAAAATTACGGGACAAGAGGGAGCTTTTCCAGTAAACTGGTTTTGGGTTCCTGCTTCCATCCCCGTACCAGCGCTGCAAGCGGCCTTCTAATCCAGCTGGGAACTGATGGTGGTCCACTAATGGTGTGCCAATGTATAAGGGTGGTGATCCTCCTATAGAAGAAAACCACTTGAAGTGATGAGGAAAAAAGGAAGGAGAGTTGGACTGAAGGGTCCCCCCTATTGTAACCAGCAAGGCCAGAGGAGATGGTGAAGTTGAGTTTGTAGTCACCCCCCGGGACAGCTTGTGTTGTTGCCACCGGGATCAGATTGTTAGTATTGGGAACAAACGAAAAATGCCGCAACTCTTGATGGTTTTCACCCGGCACGGTGGTTTGTGGTATAAATGTAATTGGTTAATCCGGTACCCAAAAAAATTTTAATTTTATGACCTAGTCCGACCCAGGATATGTCGGTCTGGGTACCCGACCTAGAACTTGATTTTTTTTTATAAAAAAAGACCCGGATTTTTCATCGGGTCTGGGGTCGAGTCATCATGATCAGGTATTTTTGAACACCCCTAGTATAAATCATTCACATGCTTGTTATCCCACCAATGTGGGACATGTGTTTTCTCATTTTTCTTACACAACACAATTCACATGTACCTACTTTGAGCATCAATTTCTCATCCATCACTCAACCGTTTTGAGCATATGAGATACCGTTGTAAATATCTCATGGAGTAGAATATGAATCAATATATTCATTATTCGAATCCATCATTGACGACACATATAGAACATGCAAATACAACTACTCAAACTCAATATCGTTAGAAAGAACAACAAACCTCTTAACCACCGATCACTTGATAAATTTGGAATAAAGTGAATGTTAAATATTAATCCACTATCGAGAATGAATTATACTTTGTTTTCTTTTTAATCTTCTCTTTACTACTATAAATCATTCACATGCTCGTTATCCCACCAATGTGGGATATGTGTTTTCTTATTTTTCTTACACAACACAAATTCACATGTACCCTACTTTGAGCATCAATTTCTCATTCATCACTCAACCGGTTTGAGCATATGAGATACCGTTGTAAAGATCATCTGAATCAATAATCTCCATCTTTACCCTTAAGAAAATATGCCTCAAATTTTCCAATTTATCACAATTTTTTCAACACTTTTTAATAATTGACGACACAGATAAAGCCTGCAGATACAACTACTCAAACTCAAAATCTTTAGAAAGAAAAACAATCCCTTAACCACGATCACTTGATAAAATTGGAATAAAGTGAATGCTAAATATTAATACACTATTGAGAATAAATTATACTTTGTTGACTTTTTAATCTTCTCTTTACTAGTAGAATAAATCATTTACATGCTTATCATCCCACCAATGTGGAATATGTGTTTTCTCATTTTTCTTATACAATACAATTCACATGTACCCTACTTTGAGCATCAATTTGTCATTTATCATTCAACCGTTTTGAGCATATGAGATACCGTTATAAAGATCTCACAGAGTAGAATATGAATCAATATATTCATTATTCGAATCTCCATCTTTACCCTTAGAAAACATGCCTCAAATTTTCCAATTTATCACAATTTTTTCAACACTTTTTAATCATTGACGACACAGATAAAACCTGATACAACTACTCAAACTCAAAATCTTTTATTAATCATATTTTCTTATAAAAAATATTATTTTAATATTTTCTTCTATTTTTTATTTGTATTTCAATTCATTAATCTAGATGTACATACTTACACAAGTGTAAGTATATGTTTACTTCTAGGTACTAAGAGAAATACATACTTATATCAGTATAAGTGTGTGTTTATTTTTAGGTATCATATTTACACCGGCATTAACATGTACATCTATCACTATCATGACATCTAAAAATAAATATACTTACACCGGTATAAATATGTGCATCTTCTACTATTTCTTTTTAAACTTATTTTGGTTACCAATTTATTCAATTTTTAAATAACATTTCTACTAAATTTTTAAATTACATTTCTACTAAAAAGATTTAAATTTTTTACCATACGATTAGCTTTGTGAAATAATTTTACATTTGTAGTGGTACTTTTTTATAATTTTATTTTCTTTAATAAATATTTTTATACAATATCAGAGAATATATTATTAAATATTTTTGAAAAAAAGATAAAATTAATTTCCTTTTAAGGGGGTCAAGATTTTTTTAATATTGGTGTCATTTTTATTGTTTGGGTAAACTATAAAAATAGTCCCCGAATTTTTAGGGCACTTGCATTTTGGTCACCCGACTTTTGAAACTTACAATACATTCATCAAACTTTTAGTTCGTTTTCACTATGGTCCTTGCCATCACCCGAAAATTTAGCGGGTCGAGTACCCGGCCTGAAAAATTGGGTATTTTTAATATAAATACATAATATTTTTTAACCGGGTCGATGGGTCGGGTCAATCGGGTCGGATATTTTTTATTCCGGACCCTAGACCACTGTCCTTGGACCCCGGACCACTATTCTCGGACCACTATCCTCGGACCCAGGACTACTGACTCTGGACCCCGGGGTCCGGACCCCTGACCCCAGACCAATGCCCCTAAAGCCACGTTTCTGCACCAGTCTATAACAACCCTCTGGATACAACTGAACAGCAATGTGGAACGGGCATAGGATCTCCAAATCCAAAAAATCTTCTCTATTGTGGTCAACCTGTCTCCGCCATCGAGGTGAAACACCCGAATTTATACGGGAACCATGCAGAGACAAAACAAGAGTATAGACGATCAGACCCTACTTATCAGCTAGCCTCAAATATTTCTGTCAAATCCAAGTCTTCTCCTTCATGCACCTTTCATGGAACGATTTGTACCAAATCAGCATCTATATTGCAGACCCTTGAAATGAATTTTATCACAATGTTCTCTCGGGGAATTGATAAAGTGATCGAATGCAACTAATTTACCAAATCAGGATGAGTCTTCGAAGGGTTAAGAATCCATCCAACCACGTTCGCACTGTCACTCTCCACCGTTAAATCAAGATTGTTGTGCCATTTTGAACCAATGAAACTTCTACAGCATGGTCAATTGCCATAATTTCAGCTAGTACCGAGGAACCTGCACCAATCGGAATCGAGAATGACATTAGTGATTTTCCTGCTGAGTCCTTGAGGATTCCAGCTATACCACCAACACTTTCATCCACTTTCATAGCACCATCAACGTTGAACTTTAGTTTGCCACATGGAGGCAGGCGCCAAGTTCTCAGTTGTTGAGCTGCCTTCTTAGCCGGGATTTAACCGTCTGCTATAGTTAAATTAGCCACAATGTCCTCCAGCCGAAAAGGTGACTCGGGGAACTTGGCTATAAAACCAGCTACACACAATACTTATTACCAAATCATATTCATTCTCAAATTTCTTAATTATTTTCTAAGAAATTTCTTTTAACTATAGATTTAAATACTAGTGGCGTAATTTTATCATTTTCTTTAGCTTGCAAATGAACAAATAAA